GAGAGAGAGAGAGAGAGAGAGAGAGAGAGAGAGAGAGAGAGACAGGGAATTGGGAGATGGAGCGCTGGCGGGGAGGAAACAGAACCGAGGAAGCCAATCAGGACGGGAGAGCTGTGGTCGCAATCGGGAGGGGTAAGTGGAATCCTGCTTCCACTCCATTCGCCGCTGTGTTTGATCAAATATCCTACTCGACTGTTCTACCACTGACCCTTCTACGACAGCTTCGTACATTCACTAAAACTATTGCGGTCACTAATCCTTCTATCCTGCTCCCATTCGTCACCAATTTTCTTCTTCCTTTCAAACTCATCACTTCTCCGTTTCATCTCCCCTTATTGCATCCCCATTCCCGTCATCGCAGGGCCCATGATGGTGACAGAGACAAAGGCCGACAAAAAGAGACAGGGATAAAGAGATCGAATCCGTGTTCACACCGCATCTGGAGTTCCTCTCCTCTTTCGTATGTACTCGACCGTTCGAACATACCTGCTGCTGCACCGCAGCCACGCCCGCTTGTTAATTTCAATTTTTGTTTTGGCCAGGAAGAGCAAGTTGCCCTGGGCCACTCTGGTAGCCCAGCAATCACAATCGATGCGATCTGTACAGCTGCACAAACACAGTACTGATCTACATCCCACCACCTTTGTTCAAAACATCCCCCACTTTTTTACTTTTTTTTTTTTTTTTTTTTGGGGGGGGGGGGTGGGGGGGTAATTTTTATTTTCTTCGGGTGGAAATCTTTCTGTATTTTTTACTCCTCACGATCTTCGCCAAAACCTCTATTCATTTAACCTCTTTCACTTCATTAAGGATGTGGTTTGCCACTTCCATATCGCTATATCTTGACTGAAAGTAGTGCCGAATACAGATTGTTAGCTTTGAACATGAGAAATCTGGAGTGACTACCGTCTTCAACCGAATAGAACGCCTGGTCATCATAGTTGTATTCGGGGCTACTTTCAGTCCAGATGCAGCCATAATGCCCGGGCATTCCTGGCGTTCTATTCAGGTGAAGACGGTAGTTGCGCACTGTAGAGCAGAATTGATAAAGGTGGCAGTTTGTCTGACGTCTCCTCCTCGTCATCTCGTCCGCATTGCTGAAGCCGAAAAAAAAGACATCCAAAAATGATAACAATCTTGAACTTTCATAATTTCATACATAAAATATGTTTAAATAACAACTCGCGAATCTTAAGATTTCTCATCTTCGAAACTGATCACGAACCATTCTGCTTTCTCATCTTCGAAGCTAACAATCTGTATGTATTCGGCACTACTTTCAGTCTAGATACAGCGATAACGACCACCGGGCATTCTATTCGGGTGACTACGGGTAACAGCAGGACCAGCTCAGATCTCAGCCCCATTGATCATGCGCCGCAGCCAGATCCATCTTCTTCACAGCTCACAATCGGTTTGGCTTTGTGCATTTGAACTGGCTCCTGCTCCCACTGCCGACTGCCCGGAAGACCCTTCCTTTATTTATGTGTGCTTTTTAGGGCCAGCGGGGAGGGGACCGAGTTGCGGAGGCGAAAAAAATGAAAGCTCGAGGAATATTCGAGGACTGTTCGATGAAACAGAATGTCACAGCCCCTCTTCGCTCGTCCTGTCCTCGCTGCCCAGTAGTAAACACTAGGTAGGCAGAGAGGAAGGGTCTTCCAGGCAGTAAATCTCCCTACTGTTTACTCCTGGCCCCTGGGCAGATCTCTCTGCTGCAACAGTACATTTAAGGGTAAGTTTCAAAAATAGCCGCGGTAGTTTCACTGTTTCACAGCAAAAACACTGGCGGGGAGCAAATTTTGTTGCAAAAAAATAACTTTCGTTGCAGCTTTAGAGGCCCCTGTAGTTTCACAGCAATAGTTAATATTTGCAGGCGGGGTCCTAGTGCAATCAGACTCGTTTTCAAACACACTTTTCATGCATGTAAACAGCAATGCAGCATACTGGCGACATGCGCCCACTCAAAACTCAGAGATATGGCTTTCAGATACGAGTTCACTCTCAATTGGCTATGGCGACTTCAGCGCCCAAACATCTCACTGTTCACATACACTGGATCACCCTGGATATCCCACACGCATCACTCTAACACTCGAACACACACACACGCTCACTACTAACTACAGCTATGGCAGCTGTCGCTGCATCTACCCTATCGCTATGCTAACTCCCTCTCTCTAGCCCACTGCGTCCTCCGGGCTCATCTGCAGACCTCCTTGCACAAGTCGCTGTGGCAGCACTTCCGCATGGCTCACGCAGGAATCAAATGAATGGCTGGGCGCTGCCTCTTGATTTATACTTCAGAAACTCGTTGGTCTGCCCTTTGCCATCGGCCCTTGGTGCTCACAGTCCCCCTGTGGTACTTGCTGGACTGGACTGGGACTCTCTAGACCCTGTCTCTTATACACATCTAGATGTGTATGTGGCAGCACTTCCGCATGGCTCACGCAGGAATCAAATGAATGGCTGGGCGCTGCCTCTTGATTTATACTTCAGAAACTCGTTGGTCTGCCCTTTGCCATCGGCCCTTGGTGCTCACAGTCCCCCTGTGGTACTTGCTGGACTGGACTGGGACTCTCTAGACTCTGTCTCTTATACACATCTAGATGTGTATAAGAGACAGGTACACAGGTAAGCTGAGGTCAAGGGATCGACCCCTGGGATCTGCATCGGCTACTGCCATAGGTGAAAACTGTTTCACGTTTCCTTGCAAAAAAAAACAAAATATAATATATATCCTTCGGACCCGTACCAACATTTCTGCTGCGAAACTTCGAAAACGCGCTATTTCTGCAGTTACCTCTAGATTTAAGACCACAGAGAGCTCCCCACCAGCTGTTCCTGGTTTTCTTTTCTCTTTTTTTTTCTTTTTTTCTTTTTTTTTTCTTTTTTTTTTTTGGAAAACCTGCTGTTCCTGGTTCATAGAAGACTAAGAAGAGAGATCATTCCCCTCTTCGTCCGTTCCTGGTTTTAAGGCAGGCACTGTATAGTAGTCCGGCATCTGTTAGGAAGAGAAAGGGGAAAAAGGGAGGGGGGAAAAAAAAGAAAAAAAAAACACACCTCAAAAGCTAGGCTGCCAGAGTGGGCCGGCACAACTTGCCTGGCAGGGGCAAAAAAAAGTGAAATTTTAAAAATTAAAAAACAATAATTAAATTTTATTTCTTATTTTAAATTTGGTAAAGAATTTCTTCTTTTTAAAAAAAAAAGGAAAAAAAAAGAACAGTAGTTTTATTAGGCCCCAGTGCCCAAGGCAGAAATACAATGTCAAAGAGCTGCAGATTCAGGGGTCGCAAGGTCTCCAATCCCGCTTTTTCGGGTGGAGCCCCTCCCGGAGGCGAAAGTTGTTCAGTTTAGTTGTTGTCTCCCTCCAGCCATCAGAGGGGATGCATATTGSCCCCCCGCCCCAACCATGGTGGTCAAGGATGGGGTGGGGCCGCCGGTGGGGGTCCGGCTAACGCAAAGACAGAGAACATCTTGCCAGTAGCTGTGCCTCCCTTTTCATCGTCCCCCACATCCAACCGAATAACTGCAGTGCCTAAGGCCAACACTCCCCCACACACCACACACAACCCACTCACACTCACACTCACACCCGTGTTGGCCAAGGACCCTGCTATTACCAATCAGAGGTATCAAACGGGGAGTCCGACTATCACCCCTGGATGGCACTAAGTGCGCCGCCACAGGTGGTTGTGGGGCTCAAACCCACAACCTACTTGCGTGCCTGACCAACTGAGCTAGGCCGCTGCATACATGGCACAGCATAGTTTACATTTTAAAATATTTTTTTTTACATTTTAAAATAATAACTTTTAAATTTTGATTACAACAACAGAAAAAAACAAAGATTACAAAGTGTGCACACACTCCACAATCAACTGCCGTCTACTGCCGTTCCTATGCAGATCCGAGGCTCCACATGCAGGTGCATTCCCTGCGGGCTAGTTTTTTTGGCATTTGCAAACCTGAACAAGCCAAAATGAACCCTTTCTTTTCCATGAGGGTAAGAAAAAAAAAAAAAAAAAAAAAAAAAAGGAAAACACAGTTGTCAAAGCACTTATGCGAACTCCACAAATAGTTTAATTACAGAGCCATAATTGTGTTCCACGGACGGAGTGTGCGCAACATTCAATTGCTATGGTCGCTATTCCCCTGCAGCTGAGAGAGAGAGAGACCACCTACGAGCCATCACAGCAGATGCCTTGAGGACGGACAGCAAAAAACCATCTGTACACCACCCTCTTCACACCGGCATTCATTCACTTCACTCCAGCAGCAGTTCTCTCTTTCCCCTCCAGCTTGCTCTCACAAAGGGCCAGGATGCCACTGCGTTCTCTCTCCCCAGATCTCGCTTTCGGTTTCATTATGCGTTTACAAAAGTCCAGGACGGCACTACACCCGCTCTCCTTGGGTCGTCATATTACTACTACATACACTCCTCCCCAATCCTCCCCCTGCCTATTCTATTCTATCCTAGAGCTAAGTTCTTCCCGCAACTAGTCCGCCCGCAGAAGAGCCACCAGACCGGATGATGCATCATCATCTTCCATCACGAGCGAACCCCCTAGCACATCAGATGGCGCTGGTGCCGCATCTCAATCCCACAGCGCTAACGAGTACAGACAACCTGATCTGCTCTCATCTGATCCAGCGCAACCGAAGCTTGATTGACGTGATGCAAATATGTTTAAGGCTGACTCAATGATATTGAATGCTACGGAGGGCAGACTCACGCTAGCACTGTCCTAAAGACCACAATTACGGCCAGAAACACTGGCATGTGACAGCAATCACAAATTATCACGTCCAGGGCTCAGTCTAACAGATCTTTGCGAGTACGCCCCTGAGCGAATCCAATAACTCACTGCACGATCCACATCCGAAACTTCAAAAAGACCGTTTGATTGTGAATTTGTGCTCGTCAAATGGTGTAAGCGTGCAAACATAGTCCGCCGAAGAAGGGCAACTGTGCAAACTCATAGTCCGCCGAAGAAGGGCAACTGTGCAAACTCAACCATATGGAGATCCAGATTCACAAGACCCATAGTACAAGTGCTATCTCATTTGATAGTGCGAACCCGATTTGCTGCAATCCAATCGACAAATATCTATCTATAGACGGTACGCCACCGATGGTAGTGCGCTCGATATCTACCTCATCGAAGAGCCGCTGAAAGCATATAGGTGCGAAATCCCTCTTGAAAAAGCTTATCACCCCCCTATGGGGGTGGGGGTGGGGGGGCGGGAGCCTCATGCAATTCGTCTTCTCACGTGATGAACAAAGCTTTTGTTCAAAGTCTGAATGTTTTGCCAAACAAAGAACATTTGAAAAAAAGATTGCCTGTGGGAGGTGGGGGCGGGGGGTAATGCGCAAACTATGCAAAGCACGTTGTGCGAACCTGGCCTCATTCTCGTGCAAGGTGCAAACATTGAAAAACGTACCGAGTCTACTGACAAATTTGGCTGACCTAAACTCCCTGGCTTCATAAACTCTCAAGTTTGCTTGGAAGCATAACAAACATGGAAGGAAACTCTTTGCTATAATCAGCATAGTATAGCAAGTACCACGTCTAACTTCACCACACATATACAGTATAGCCAGGTGCTAAGTATAGCAGAGCTCTGGCATACAATCAGCATAGCATGGCAAAGTACCACATCCAACTTCACCACACATAGACAGTATAGCCAGGTGCTAAGTACAGCAGAGCTCTGCCATACAATCAGCATAGCATAGCGAAGTACCACGTCTAACTTTAGCACACACAGGCAGTATCGCCAGGTACTAGACAGGTACTAGACAGGTACTAAGTCATACTAAGCATAGCTACATAAACAGTATAGCCAGGTACTAGCCAGGTACTAGACGGGTACTAAACCATACTAAGCGTAGCTAGCCTATCTGGATACTAAGTACGGTAGAGGTCTGCTATACTTAGCACCATCAGTATCGGTAGGTACAAAGTAGAGCAGATCTCCGCCATTCTTAGCACATAGCTGGGACAGCCAGGTACTAAGTACAGCAAAGCTCTGTCATACAATCAGCTTAGCATAGTAATGTACCACGTCTAGCTTACCCCACATAGACAGTATAGGCAGGTACTAGCCAGGTACTACCGAGTTATAAACCAGAGAATCAGCGATGCCATTTAATGGGTTACAGGTTTCAGTGGTGCCGCCCTGAGCGCATTCAGGTCCAGGTTGGAGTCCAGCTCTTGATCGAGCTCCCCAACAACAGCTCTGTTAATCATCACAGCCAGGCAATCGAAAGTGCACAACGGAAGGGAGAAACAGAAAGAGACAAAAATATATCATGACTCACTCCAGAAACAGAAAGAGACAAAAATATATCATGACTCACTCCCAACCAATTACAGTCTACAACAAAACCAAGAAGGTCAGAGGGGGGAGGGGGATGCAGAGGGGGGAGGAGAACACAGCCAAGGAACTTCAACAAGGGCAACTGAAAGACAAAAAGATGTGCTCTTGGTCCTTATGAGAGCCTCATGGCCAGATTTAATTAAGGAGAAAAAGGAGGATCAGATGGGGGGTAGACCAGTAGAGTAATAAATTTGGGTCATTTATTTATCGCTGTCATTATGCCCTCGACAGAGCCAATTACATTACTTGGTCGCTTTTTCCTCTTTTTTTTCCCCTTTTTCTCCATGCCCACTGACTCACTAAGCCAAACACTCAGGTCCTACAGGTTTACACAGCATATCTATACAGCATTTAGCATTTACTACTTATCTAGGGTACTAGGGTGGCCTGCCTGGGGGAAGTCCAGACCTACCTGCCCCGGTCACCATGGCAAGCGAAAGAGCGAGGTTTGAAAAAAGAAAGAGATGTGCCCAAATCTGGCCTTATCTTTCGGTTTGGTGGACTCATCTAGGGGTTTTGTGGGGTATAAATGGGGTCTAGAGACTCTAGAGTCTAAAGGGGTTTAAAGGAGCTTTAAGGGGGTATGAACTGGGCGACCAGCCGGGCTGCCCGGGTTGCCTTGAACTGGCCCTGGTGGCCTGGCCGGGTCAGGTCTGGACAAATCCCCGGTCAAGGTCTTGGAAAAAATTTCAAAAGAACTATGTCATGCAGAATTGCAAATCAAACAACTTTTGGCCGTTCACATCAAAATGCGTGATAAAATTCAAATAGAAAATAAAAACAAGATAGTAAATTATATCACACGGATTCACACCTTTAAGCCCCTTTAAGGCCCTTCAGACCCCCCCTTGTACCCCATAGCCACCTTTTCACGAGACATCATCAAATTCAAAGATACGGTCCGATTTGGGTACATCTCTGTAGGACCAAAATTGCCCCACTGCCCAAATAAAAAAAAAAAAAAAAAAAGAAAAGAAAAAAAAAAAACACCCTTTTGCTGTCGCCTGGGTACCCCAGTCGGGTCCCCACCTGTGTGGGCAGGTTCGCCTGGGTCGCTCCGCCGGGCGGCCCGGGCAGCGTTACTCTGGTAGCCTAGGGTATGAGACACTTTTTCTTCTTTTTTGTTTTCAATTTTCTATTAAAAGAACTCCATCGTGACCGTAAGCCAACAATTGTCCGATTTTCAATTCTGCATACCAATATTTTTTGACTTTTTCCCTTCATTCTTATTTTTCAAATTCTGCAATGGGGCTGCTTGGGACCTTGCCCGGGTGTGCCGGCCCTGGGCAGGTGGAGGCATCCTGGGGCCCAGCAGTTAACCCAGGTATTTATGGTACAGAATCTACAGATATGATTGACCAGTCTGTGTGGGATTGATTTAAAATTTAAGACCAACAAAAAAAAGAGTGTGTCCATACAGCATTAAGTGGCATCCACAGGTTTCTAGAGAAGGTAAACAGAGCCCTAAATTTTCCATGGTTTTTTTTTTTCTTCTGAAGGTCATTATAAGTTATAACAAACCTCGCGCACCTTTCAAGCCAAACTTGTCACCAGTCCATAAAGTGGACACCAAATAAACACAAAACTAACAGCAAAAAAAAAAAAAAAAGGAGACCAAAGGACTAGGCCAACCAGTCGGGCTGTTTGGCTCACCTTGTTTGCCCAATCCTTCGGTTTTCATATAAATGGCATGGCAAGTGGTCTGAAAATTAGGGTCTCTTCTCCGTTAACCTTCTCTCGGACCAAAGGGGGTTCCAGCAAAAAAAAAAAAAAAAAAAAAAAAAAAA